ACCCAGTTCATTTATTAGTCAATATTAAATATAGAATTAGCTCAAGTTTCTTTTTATCTTCTTGTTGTGGTCGGCCGAATCCAATTTTATGCATTCGCTTCAAAATTGACGCGATCTTTACGACGAATCGAGGAGCAGACTTTCGAAGAAGATCGTTAGCGCATGCGCTCGCGCTAATCCTGCTCCGCGTAGCGCGTTCACGGGAGCGAAACTCCAAGTCGAATGAGCCAGTATCGGACGGGCACTCTGCGGTGTCACGTGCACCGTCTTTTCTCGATTTGCGAACTGATTTTTTTAACCAATCCCGACGCGCGAAAATTCTCGCCGAAACGAAGACAAAATAAAAACGATCAGGCGAACAGTGGAAAGGCCAGTGCGCTCTATCACGAATATCGGATTACCCTTTCTCGCGACGTAAGTTCCACAGCTGCTTTTCAATCCGCGCTATTTCTAGTCTCAAAACGAGACGCGTATCGTCCGAGGAATTAAACACCGATTAATACGATTCAGTTTTATCAAAAGTTCACTTAAATTAAAATTTATTACAGTCCTCATGCATTGTAGGTCATGTCATGTATCTTGATCTGAATATTATTAAGTAGTTCTGCACATAGTGTGCATACTATCTTTTTTTTGCATACTAACAAACTTTCCAACGAGCTCGAACCGTTCATTACACACCCCGGCAGTAAATCAAAGAAAATTGCAGGAAGCGGAGTCGATCAGTTTGCTCAAGTGTCGACTAGCTCGGCTCAAAGTTGCAATACTAGTTTGACGCGTCAGTTCAATGTCACCGTCGCGTATTTTAGGCGATGAACGCTTAACTTCCATCAAAAAAAGATTTCGACTGACAGCAAGTGAATACGCGTATCGATACATCGTCTACTAATTAGAAGCGAACAAAAGTAATTATAATTCTCTTTAAATAATCGCCGCCTTATAATAATCCGGTTTGCATACAATCGCAAAAGCATTCCGTTCGCTTCACGGTGAATTATTCAATCTGGTGATATTTTATACTCGACCGGCAGTTTATCGCCTGATGCATTATTAAATGCATCATTGAGCCTCGAAACGTCAGAAACAATCTCGGGAGGAGGATAGAAGTAATTGCTATTGATCGTTCCCCGAGACTAATATCGACTCACCCTAATAGCGACTTACCCTTCCTCTTTACTTAATTGCAAGGCAGGGCAAAAGTGAAGGAAGTAAAACTTCTTTCATCACAATCTTAATTTTTCTAAAGGAAGTGTACATTGAAATGTACCAACTATTATCATTAGTCAATTTCCAATTGAGAAATACAATTAGATCTTTAAAAAATTTATGTAAGACTGATATAATTAACGAACTAAAATCTATGGTTTCGAAGCCAAACGTCAAAGTTGAGGCAATAAATGCTGTTCGAAAGGTAGTCATAATCCAAGGAGTATAATTAACAGCGTAAACTGTGGCGATCGCGTGTAAGCCACCGATGCGTGACCGAACACAATTTGTCAAATGCCGATTACATCGTACAGGCTCTTGCCGATCAGAACGCTGACTGAGGGGCTTCCATTTAAATTGAATTACTACGAATGCACCGCGGCTGCACGCTGGTGGCGTATGCAGCAATTAATCTCGCCGCGTCGAAAAAGTCTCGGCGCCTTTGAAAGGCGCTGAACAGTGGCCGTTATTATACATCGCGGACTCATGTCTCGTCGCTTAAACGCTTTTCACGTTTGAAACCCGCGTCGCGAGTGCGAAGCGCGCAAAAAGCGAGGGCTCGATCTGAATTCGATTCACCCGGCTCGAACCCGCAAATGTAAGAGCGAATTTCGAATGCGCCAAAAACTAGCGCGCTTATTTTACCCCCGTGACTCACGCGGCCGAGCTCACCAACGACACTTCAGACCTTTGTCGTCGATACTTAATTAAGTATTTAAATCGACAATCTGTCTTAGCTGTACAGACTGTCAGTCTTAAGATTATTTTTACTCTTTCGTGTTGGTATTTTAATAACGATATCGCAACGACGGAATCTGTCGGCGGCTGTCACAAGTGATTTTTGAGTAACAGCAATCCAGTCGAATACGTCGAGAGGGAATTAAAACTCCCCCCTTGCTTCACGGTTAAATTGTTAATTATGGGCATGCACGCGTTCCATCGGGCACCGTTTACTATACATTCTTCGGACCGCACGTAACCCAGTAAGCAGATGATCGTTTCTCGGTGGATGGGCGGAAGGTCAACTCCCACTTTCCGTCTTCGTGGATCTTTCATCCATGTAAGGTGCGCTTCAAGGACCGTTCAGAGTACGAGACCGCTCGCGCGCTCGCTCTCTCGCTCATTTAAGTGACATTTACATGGAAAATGAAAAAGAGCAATTGTAAAACTGACGTTTTTCTTCCGCGCTGATTATCTTCAGAAATTCTACTAATACACTTTATTTCCCTCCGATCTAAGTTCAATTTTCTTATAGCACGTATGAGAATGATATCTGAAATTCTTAATTTATTCTCATCGTTTTATCTGCGTGTTTATCGTCAATATTTAACAACAAGAAATCTGTAGATCGCAGCCAATAGGAGGAATATAAATAATACGTAATCTTTTACTCATCGAAGAAAAAGGGGACGACCGGAGGCGGAAAACGAGCACAAAAATAGGCGTTACGCCAAAAACACAGGCCATAGTTTACAAAACTCCCACTACGTCGGGCAGTGGGCCAAAAGTCTACGCAGAATCGACGATTTATTTTTTCATCATGCGAACCCCTGAAAAACATGAATAAATCAATCTCCCCTATTGTTTTGATCAGATTATTCATCTCATCTTTTATATTACAATTATGTTAGATTCTGCGAAAATACGTGTAATAATAACGTGGCGTGAAAGTATCAAAGTTAAGAATTTCTGATTCACTTCCCGCTGTTTTACGGTAATTGCATTTCAGTCTATTTGTATTCTGATGACAGAGCGAGTTCCACTGGAAACGTGATGCAACATTTATGAGTTAATAATAACATTTAGGTCTGACCGCAATTAAAACATCTGACGGATGATAATAATCATCGAAACGGATAAAAAGAAATAACTATCTAAATATTACTGACTATCGATAGCATTATATTAAAGAGAAATTAGAAAGAATGGAAGATCTCAATTTTGAAGGGAACGTGTCGGATCAGTTATTTGAATCACATTATTATGAAACATAAATTAGTATGAAGGACGACAGAGGTGCAATTAATAAGCGACAGCTTCTTGGCATCGAGAGAAGGAACGGATTCACGCGATTCACGAACCACTTTTCGCGAGGCACGTTTTCGCAAAGTTGCCGAGGCACGTTTCGCAAAGGGTTATATTTACACGAGTTAAACAAAGAGAACGGCGGATTCAGACGTAGAAGAAATAAAAGGAAAAGGGGGAAACAGAATGAAAGTCTGGGCGCCAGTTGGTTGGGCCATTGCCACCCACGTGATGTCACAAGTGTCGCTGCAGTAAATTTATGCAACCCCTGAGCTTTGCTTCCTTCTCGATTTAATTTTTTTACTATTCCACTGACATCTTAATGTTAGGCAGTAAAATGATTAATTTTTATGATATTGAAATTACTTATTGAATCGTTTAAAATTGTTAATGTTCTGTCCGTATAGCATTGGCAATCAATAACATTTTGACGTAATACTTCAATCCTCATTGTTCTGGCAAGATATACATGGCCGATACAAGCCGTGTAACTCAATTAACAAGTATCATTAATTTTCCACCTGTCAATGGCTCGGTTGCCTCACGATCGCTCATTACTCCTCGGTTACGTTAACGTTCGACCGTTTCATTGACGCGAGCCTTGCTGCATTCTCGCGAAGGCCATCGTGAAGTCCTTGGGACTTCTTACCCGCGTTTCCGTTCAATGCGTTACAAGCAAATCATCAACGAAAATGTTCGCCTCTGTTCTCAGCCAATTTGTTTAGCACGTAGCGAGGCTAAAATTGGACCAGGAACACAGACTTCTGTCGAACGAAATCATATATGTAAAGTAGGAGTATAAAAAGTTAGAAGTAGAGATTTTATGCA